GGGTTCATGATAGTCGGTCGCTGCGTGCTGCTGAGACTGGTAATGCCCATGGATCTGACCACCTTCTTGTTGGCGCACGCTTAAAAGCTGACCTTTCATCTGCGCCCAAAATCCTACGCGCTAGACGCTTCGATGTCGTCAAAATTCGGCAACCCAACACCGCTGAGGCCCTGAGCAGAGAAATCGGGTCCCGTTTCACCTGAGCCGACGGAGGAGTGAGTAGCCCAAAGTCCTCACTGAAAAACATCAGTCTATGGGGCAGCCAAGAAAATTCTTGGATGCACCCAGCGGCGCTCCAATGATTGGATCTGCGGACGGACCCTGCAGTTGTCTGCGGAGACAGCCCGAGCTATGGGCCGTAATGATGATTCTTTCCGCCAGCTAAGAAAGATGACGGAAAAATCGGCCAGAGGACCGGAAGAAATACTGGGCTGAAATAGCAACCTCCATGGAGCAGGCCTCGAACGTTAGTGATACTCGAAGGCTCTAATAACTTATTCGCAGGGCTGATGGTAAGCTGTCTTCACTGAGTGACTCAGTTCGTGATGTAAATGGCAGCTTTATTGCCGACAACGCGACCAAGACCGAACGCTGGTGTGAGCACTTCGAGCACCTTCTCAACTTTAATACAGAGCCCACCACCCCTCTGCTCCCATCTAAAACAGAGCCTCTTTCATCTCGCACTTATTCAATGTCATGCGGCCTGCCTTCTGAAGAAGAGATCGCTGATGCCATAAAAAGGCTACGCAATAATAAGGCACCTGGAGAGGACGGTATACCCGCTGAAATCTACAAGTCTTGTGTCGATACACTGGCATCCTTGTGCCTGTCCACAGGAAGGGAGATAAGACAAGATGTGAGAATGACCGCAGCATAAGCCTCATCGACATTGCTGCGAAGATCTTCACCAGGCGGTTACAGTCTGTGCGCGACTCTAGGACGCGACCCAACCAGGCCAGATTTCACGGTGTGTGGATCAGATATTCACACGAAGATCGATCCTTTCATTCCGCCATAGCCACCAACGACCAACGGTTATCTGCTTTGTTGACTTTGTCACTGAGTTCGACTCCGTCCATCGTAAATCCCTATGGCAACTAATGGCATTTCATGGGGTACCACCAAAATGGTCGCCATGATCAAGACATACTACCGCTCCACAACTGCGCGGGTTCTAGTCTACAACAACCTCTCAGAACCCTTCGCTATTGGGTCTGGCGTTCGACAAGGCTGTGTCCCGTCGCACACCGTCTTTAACTACGTCATTGACTGGGTTCTCGGGGAGGCCCTACAGAAAAATGACGATAGTGAGCCTGCACCCCGGCGCTGGTTTACTGACCTCGACTATGTCGATGTTATCACTTTACTAGCTTCAAGCTTTGGTGATCTACAGTCTATAGCGTCACGGGCGAACGAGGTCACAAAATCGGTCAGTTTGTCCATTAACGCTTGGAAGACGAAAGTGTTTTCATGCTGCATCCCTGCCCAAGAGAAGGCACCTCTCGCGATTAGTGGCTGTTAACTTGAAGAAGTAGACAGTTTCAAATACGTCAGAGCAATGTTGCTGCCGAATGGACAAAGTAAAGATGGCATTGAGAAGTCGTGTTGGCAAACAGCTGTTTTCGGTCATTCACTTCAGGCCGTTA